CTACAAGCTCATACCACCACACCCGGCTAATTTTTGTATTTTTAGTGGAGATGGGGTTTCACCATATTGGCCAGACTGGTCTTGACCACATGATCCACCCACTTCAGCCTCCCAAAGTGCTGGGATTACAGACGTAAGCCACTGTGCCCAGACTACTTTTACATTTTTAGAAGAGACAAGGTTTCACTGTGTTGGCCAGGCTGATCATGAACTTTTGACCTAAAGTGATACACCAGCCGAGTCCTCCTAAAATGCTAGGATTACAGGCATGAACCACCATGGCCCATCAAAAATTGTTTGCATTAGAAAATTATCATGTTGCAATTAAGAAATATCTGAGGTTGGGTAATTTTTTTTTTTTTGAGTCAGAGTCTCACTCTGTTGTCAGGCTGGAGTGCAATGGTGCAATCTCGGCTCACTGCAACCTCTGCCTTCCAGGTTCAAGCGATTCTTCTGCCTCAGCCTCCCCAGTAGCTGGGACTGCAGGCACATGCCCCCATACCCAGTTAATTTTTGTATTTTTAGTAGAGACGGGGTTTCACCATATTGGCCAGGCTGGTCTCAAACTCCTGACGTCGTGATCCGCCCCCTTTGGCCTCCCAAAGTGCTAGGATTACAGATGTGAGCCACCATGCCCAGCCAAGACTGGGTACTTTTTTAAAAGAGGTTTAATTGGCTCACAGATCTGCAGACTATGCAGGAAGCGTAGTTGCTTCTGCTTCTGAAGAAGCCTTAGAAATATTACAATATCTGTGGAAGGTGAAGGGGAATCAGCCAATAATAACGTGGCCAGAGAAAAAGGAAGAGAGCAGCGGGGAGGTGGCACACACTTTTAAACTGCCAGATTTATTGAGAAGTCACTGAATATTGCAACACAGTACCTAGATGACAATCTGCTCTCATGATTTAGTCACCTTACACCAGGCCCGACCTCCAACATTGGATTTACAATTTAACATGACATTTGGGTGGGGACAAGTTTTAAATTATATCATTCCACCCTGTGGCTCCTCCAAATCTCATGTCCTTCTCACGTTGCAAAATACAATCATGTCTTCCCAACAGTCCTCCAAAGTCGTAACTCATTTCAGCATTAACATCAAAGTTAATGCTCACCTTTTAGCCATGGCTGAACCTGGAGCAGCTGGGACACAGTGTTGGATACTACACAGGATGGTGTTTGATACTACACAGGATGGTGAAGCCCTAGACCTGGTCCATTAAACCATTCTTCCTTTCTAGGCCTCTTTGCCTGTGATGGGAGGGCTTCCGGGAAGGTCTGGAACGTCTTGGAGTCCTTTTCCCCATTGTTTTGTCTACCAGCATTTTCCTTCCTTTTAGTTATGCATATTTCAGCAGCCTCCCTGAATTCCTTCCCTGAAAATCTTTTTCTTCTTTACCACGTAACCAAGCTACAAATTTTCCAAATTTTCACACTCTGCTTCCCCTCCAAAGGGGAACAGAGTGAGACTCTGACTCAGTCTCACCTGGCAACAGAGTGAGACTCTGACTCAAAAATTATAAGTTCCTTATAATTACCTTATAGCATAAGGCTTATATATTAAATTACCTTATAAGGTAACTTATTTGCTCACATATGAGCATAGGACATTATAAGCAGCCAGGTTGTCTCTGGAACACGTTGCTGCTTAGATTTTTTTCTACCACATACCTGAAATCATTACTCTCAAGTTCAAAGTTTCAGTTTCCTAAAGGGTCCAATGCCTCCAAGTTAATTGTTAATAAATAACAAAAGTTACCTTTGAGCCAGTTCCCGGTAAGTTACATATTTCTATCTGAGACCTTCTCAGCCAGGACTTCACTGTCCATATCACAATTAGCATTTTGGTCACAACTATTTAACAAGTCTTTAGGAAGTTCCAAGCATCCCCTCATTCATACATGAATAATGTATGATAAGATTTGACCGTGTCCCCACCTTAATCTCATCTTCAATTGTAATCCCCGTAATCCACACCTGGTGGGAGGCAATTGAATCTTGGGGGCAGTTTCTCCCATGCGGTTCTCATGATAGCGAGTGAGTTCTCATGACATCTGATGGTTTTTTTAAGCATCTGGCGTTTTCCCTGTTGGCCCTCATTCTCTCACTGATGCCCTGTGAAGAGCTGCCTTCTGCCATAATTGTCAGTTTCCTGAGGCCTCCCCCCAAGCAATGCAGAACTGTGAATCAATTAAAACCCTTTCATTTATAAATTACTTACTCTCAGGTATTTCTTCATCCAGTCTGAGAACAAATTAAATGATTTGCAGAGAGTGATAGACAGATATAGATATCTAGAGACATACAGAATTATATAGCAAATAATCTGCAATTTCTATGTGTTTTTACAACAACAGCTTTTGTAATTGTGATTTTTTTCATATTTCTAGCAGAAAGAATTATAAAAATGGCTCTGGAGGTTCCCATTCCCTGGTGCCCACATCCTGTATTATGCTCTCTGATATGGTTTGAATCTGTGTCCCTGCCCAAATCTAATTCAAAAGGTAATTCCTAATGTTAGAAGTGGGCCTGGTGTGAGGTGATTGGGTACTAGGGGCAGTTTCTCATGGTTTAACACATTTCCCCTTGATGCTGTACAGTGATAGTGGGTTCTCATGACATCTGGTTGTTCAGAAGTGTGTAGCACCTCCCCACTATCTTGCTCCTGCTCTCACCATGTGAAATGCCTTGCTCCCCCTTTGCCTTCTTCAAAGTGTAAGTTTCCTGAGGCCTCCCCAGAAGCTAAGAAAATGCCAGAATTATGCTTTCTGTACAGCCTGCAGAACCATGAACCAATTAAACCTCTTTTCTTTATAAATTACCCAGTCTTGGGCCGGGTGCGGTGGCTCACGCCTGTAATCCCAGCACTTTGGGAGGCCAAGGTGGGTGGATCATGAGGTCGAGAGATCGAGACCATCCTGGTCAACATGGTGAAACCCCGTCTCTACTAAAAATACAAAAAAAAAAATACCTGGGCATGGTGGTGCATGCCTTTAATCCCAGGTACTCGGGAGGCTGAAGCAGGAGAATTGCCTGACCCCGGGAGGCGGAGGTTGCCGTGAGCCGAGATCGCGCCATTGTACTCCAGCCTGGGTAACAAAAGCCACATCCCTAGGGGAAAGGGGACAGTACTATATCAAGGGAGAACCCTGTGGGAAAAAACAACCTGAACAGTAGCCCTTGTGTCCTAGATCTTCCCTCTGACATAGTTTACCCAAATGAGAAAGAACCAGAAGAACAATTCTGGTAATATGACAAAATAAGGTTCTTTTACACTCCCAAAAGATCACACTAGTTCATGAGCAATGGATCCAAACCAAGATGAAAATCTCGGATTTATCAGAAAAAGAATTCAAAAAGTTGACTATTAAGCAAACAACAGAGAAAAGTGAAACCCAACTTAAAGCAATCAAAAAGTGATACAGGATATGAATGGAAAAATCTCCAGTGAAATAAATAGCATAAATAAAAACAATCTCAACTTCTGGAAATAAAGGACACAGATAATTGCAAAATGCACCAGAAAGTCTTAGCAATAGAATCAAATAAGTAGAAGAAATAACTTCAGAGCTCAAAGACAAGACTTGCAAATTAATCCAACCCACAAAGACAAAAGAAAAAGAACTTAAAAAGATGAACAAAGCCTACAAGAAGTTTTGGATTATGTTAAATACCAAACCTAAGAATAATTGGTGTTCCCCAGGAAGAAGAGAAATCTAAAGATTTGAAAAATATATTTGTATATTTGAGGGAATAATTGAGGAAAACATCCCCAGCCTTGGCAGAGATCTAGACATCCAACTACAAGAAGCTTAAAAAACACCTGGGAAATATACCGCAAAAAGATCATCACCTAGGCACATAATCCTCATGTTATCTAAAGTCAAGATAATGGAAAGAATCTTAAGAGCTGTGAGGATAAAGCACCACGTAACCTATCAAGGAAAATCTATCAGATGACCCAATTTCTCATCAGAAACGCTGCAAGCTATTAGAAGGGATTGGGGACCTATCTTTAGCTTCCTGAAACAAAACAATTTACAGCCAAGAATTCTGTATCCAGAGAAACTACACTTCATAATAAATAAAAGATAAAGTCTTTTTCAGACAAAGAAATGCAGAGAGAATTCACCACTACCAAGTCAGCAGTGCAAGAACTATCATATTTATTTTAATGCTAAGATTGTCCCAGATTTGAGTTGTTGTAACCTCACAAAACTGACCCCTATGGTTTTTTGTTAGGTATGCTAAGATCCTTATTCTGTTTTTAAGCACTTTCTTACTTTCTAGTCAGAAAAAAAGCTCTAGGCTCTGAAGTGTACAGATACGCAAATATATTTACATCTATTTATATATCTTTATTAAAAATCATGAGTTTATACTAACAACTCAAGTTCCATTATTCCAATTCAACACCACAGGGTTTGTTTCTTTCTTTCTATATTGTGTCTTCTTTCTGACAGTGAGCAACCTGACTCCTGACATCTTCAATATATCTACACATTTGCTCAATCCTATAATCAGAACAGAGTGCCAAATTTTCTAACTCATGCCACTGGTAAAACCAAACCTAATTCTATTTGATGAGGTATGGAGAATAGTCAATTCATAGAGACAGAAAGTAGACTGCAGACTACCAGGGGCTAGCGGGGAGAAGTAAGGGTAGTTATTGTTTAATAGGTAAAAAGTTTCCGTTCTGAAGATAGATAGTAGTGATGGCTACAATCAATAAGACTCTATGCAATGCCACGGAATTGTGCACTTTTCAATGATTGAAGTAGTAAATTCTACGTAATGCATATTTTATCCTGATTTAAACAACACTACAACACTGGTTAGACTTCAAGATTTATTTGTAGTTGTTTTTGTCTTTAGACTGGGAAAAGATGGAGCGATAGATAGGTAGGTAGGTAGATAGATAGATAGATAGATTCAAAATCTACATATATTACTTATCTTCTTTTTAAGTAAGATTATATTATTTTTTAAATATAGCCAATTTATTTTTATTTTTATTCCATTTAGTCTCCATTCTTGTTCATTTAAGCTTAAAACTATGTAAAATAATAATATAATTATAGATGTCAAACCTATCTAGAAAGGAAATGTCACTTCCTCCCCAATCCTTTCCCTGTTTCCACCCAGCCCCTTGAGATAAACAGTCTCATTCTTTTCTAATTTATTCTTCCTTTTTTTTTTTTTGCAAAAATAAGCAGATACACGAAAGGTATTATATATTCTTTCACAGAATAAACCACTCCTAGAACCCACAACACCTCACTCTGTGGAAATCTTTCTAATTCTTTTACATGACTGTATAGTATTCCATTGTGTGGTTGCACCATGGTTTCTTCAACTAGCCTTCTATTTATGGGCACTTCAGTTGTTCCTAGTAGTTTTCAATGCATGGTAAATAATGCTGCAATAAGCAGAGGTATTTGGATCTTGTTGAAGGTATATCTTCAAGAAAAATTCCTAGATGTGAGAATCCTGGGTCAAAAGATAAATGCATGTGTTGTGTCGTTTTGTTAAATATCTCCAAGTTCTCCTCCATAATGTTTTATCATTTTGTTTCCCCACCAGCAATGCTAACAGAGCCTGTATCCTCGCAGCCTCACCACAGAGGGTTACTAAATCTTTGTAATTTTTGCCAATCTGATGAAAAATGGTATCACAATGTAGTTTTAACTTGCCTTGCTCTCAAAGTGAACAAAGGCAAGCATCGTTTCACATGTTTAAGGGGCACTTATGTGATGTGTATGTGCACAGGAGACGTGAGTGTGTAAATTTTATGCTCTTAGATTTTGCCCATTTTTTTCAGGTTTCTTCTCATTTTTTAGTCTATTAGGGTATCTGAATAACTCTAGTGTCGAGAATCCTCAAACGAGAGTACAATTGCAGTTAGATAAACAGAGTGTCCAGAAAACAGATGGTCTCTGTGCTCAGTGAGCTTGGAAGCTGTGGAAAGCAGATTTGATTGAACCATCCAAATGTCTGCTTCAGCTCAATTGTAAGGCCCAGTAGAGTTCAGCATCGGGCCTGAGGAAGCAAAATCCAGCAAGATTCTGAAACGAGGTCTGGTAGGCTGCTTCCTCATCAGGGTCACACCATAGCAAGGTCACACCTCTTCCACCCTTGCACACCCTAAAACAGAACACAATAGAATAGAACAGACCCACCAGTGTTTAGTTATTTTCTCTTGTTTAACACCAACAACTTTTTTATGGAGAAGTTGGCAGGGAGCCTGGGGAGCACCCAGTGACCCTCACCTTCCTGTCCCCCCCATCCTCATCAGAGGAATGAGGCAACAACCAGGCATCTCTCCCCACCCTCCCGGAGGAGAGAAGGCATCCATGCCAGCCTGCGGTGGCAAAGAAAAGAGGAGGCCTGCACCAAGCCAGGCCTGAGAGCCTGGGAGCCCTCAGAGACTCCAGCAGGCTCTGGGACATGACAGGTGGCAAGGTGGGCATTCCCTTGGGCTCAGGGACCCACAAAGCTTTGGTGGCTGCTCCAGCTGAGACATGGTGGCAAGGAGCCTGGCTTCCTGCCCATTTTTCACTTGGGATTTTCACTGATGCTTTTCCTTCAATTTTAAGAATCTTCTATGTGGTAGGGTGGAGTGGGAACTCAGCAGCAAACTGAGGCACTTGAGAAGGAATAAGAAAGAGAGTCTCAGATGATCCCTGAGGTCTCTGAGTGAGAACCAACACGACATGTGGGACCTGAACAAGAGGGAGAGCTCCTTTTCAAAGGGCAGATACGGAGAAAGCCCAGGGAAGTCTCGCACAGCATGGTTAGTGTGGTTGTTTGATAAGGGGTAATGCAGACTCAAACTCTAGCTGGATGGTGCAATTAGAGGTAAGGTTAAGGTCTCCAGGTGCCCACCAGAGACCGGTGGTCCTATACTGCTGTCAAGCTAAAAGGAGGAAAGAGAAAAATTAAACTGATGACATCAGGAAGTTTTAGGATGAACACAGTGACTGAAGGTGCTTATTTGCTTTGGATGAGGGTTTTTCGTGCCGTTTTGTGTGCCAGTGACTGTGGTTCCTATCCCCTGAGTGCATTATTATAGGCACTGGCACACTGGCTGCTCGGGTACAGAACATCACTGCTGCCTGAGAAGCTAGGGCCCTCACAGCCAAGAATTTCAGCCATAACAATGGGACATATCCACTCCTGCCTGTCACCTAAGCTCCCCAAGTCCCAGTGGGTTATTCAACAAAAGCCAAACTGCATACTGAGTGCAGAACTGCACATTGCTTTGTTAATTCTGGATTTGATACAAAACAACCTATTGCAATGTAACAGCCCAGTTTGACTGGTCATAAAGGCCTTCGGGGCATGAAGACTAACAATGGATTATTGCAGGCTGAATGCCAAGGCTACTTGGCATTTCTTGATTTACAGATGGCTCTGGGAAACTACAAGCAGATGGGGACTCTTGTAGTTTCCCAGATATAATTTACAGATGGCCAGCCAGTGAATGGCCACCTCTTGACTTATACTGGACATAGATCATCTCTCCCTACCCTCCCAGAGGAGAGAAGGCATCCATGCCAGCCTGGATGGGCCAACTTCACACAGTGGTGATGGCCATGCCAGCCACCCCTGCTACCATATCTTAATACATATTTTTTGACCCATCATTTCTGTTTCCTAAGAGCTTCACTATCAGATCAGGAAAATGGCCACTGAGTGACTGAACTATTAAAGGAATTATATGTGGAGAACAAAGACTACAGCCAGTTCGCTGCCGAAAAGGGGAAATATCTGTCACTTGCGTGGATGCTGGAATTACTATGGCCACCAATGAAAAGAATTTATATCATCTTATTGCATACACTGCAGGACTTCACTCTGACCAAGGAATGGTCTGCTAGTGGGATAGGACCCCTATCCGACTAAGGCAGTAAGGCCACTAAACACTGCGCTCCAGTACCAGGGAAGCACAGCCCTGAGCGCATGTTGGGGAATATCGGGCTTGGTGAGGCTGCAGGTGGATCAGGCAGCTGCTTGATGAGGGTGTGCCTGTGAAATCCCAATCACTGTATTCTCAACCATTCTTCTTCCTTTCTCCCTTTAGAGTGCACTTCCCAGGGTTGGCTTGTGGTTTGGGCCTCCATAGTACCCCAGACAGGCCTTGTGAAATCTAACCTGGAGGTGAGGCTTCCCCCTGAACACTCTCATATATGGAAACTCATAGAGTAACGCATGGGACCAAGGAACACCACAGTGCACAGGTTCCTCTACTGGCTCCAGGGATATCTGATCTTTCTAGTCGGGTGAGTGGTGTTTTCAGACATGTCAAGTTTATACAGGATATTTCCTCCCTTTCTGGACTGAAAGACAGAGGCTGAAAGGTCTTAGTTAACCAAAAAGGACAGTGGGTCCCAAAGAGGTAGTACACTCTGGACTGGGTGCTGCACCAACTGAGCCCAACTCCTATCCAATAGATAGGGAACACGAGATACTCCAGAAGGGGTGGTGGTGGGGCACCAACCTGTCGTTCTATTTTCTCCACAAAGACATGGCAGCAGAGGCCTAGAAGCACAATGCCTTCTTTAGGTCCTCCCAAGCTGTGGTCACCATGGGTGATAGGTGTTGGATCTGTGTCCCCACCAAATCTTATGTTGAAATGTAATCCCCAGTGTTGGAGGCGCAGGCCAGTGAGAGGTGTTTGAGTCTCGGGGGAGGATCCCTCAAGGCTTGGTGCTGGCCTTGCCTCGCAATAGCGAGTGAGGTCTCACAAGATCTGGTTGTTGTCAAGTGTGGCACCTCCCGCCAACCCTGCTCCTGCTTTGGCCATGTGAAGTGCCTGCTCCCACTTCAACTTCCGCCCTGAGTGAAAGCTTCCTGAGGCCTCCCCAGAAACAGACGTTGATGCCATATTTCCCGTAAAACCTGCAGAATCATGAGCCAATTACATTTTTCTCTTGTAAGGTGCCCAGTCTGAGATTTTCCTTCATAGTGATGCAGGAGTGGCCTAATACCATGGATCAACGGATGAAGTGTTGGACTGGCCATCCTGGATCTTATTCTGTCACAGACCACAGTGGTCCTCTCATCCTGCCAGTGGCAAATGACACCAACATTCCTAACACCGTAGGGCAAACCAACAGGCACCAAGCCCTAGCTTGCCAAGTAAGGATCTGGCACCTGCCTCATGAAAGGGAACCAGAGGTGCCCCATTTTGACTTAACTGGCCTAAGGTGGCAAAATGTCATAAGCACAATTAGTAAAACCATGATGGGCTAAGAGTTTAACTTACTACTTTCTTGTTTTCTTCTTTTTTTGAGATGGAATCTTGCTCTGTTGCCCAGGCTGGAGTGCAGTGGCATGATCTCAACTCACTGCAACCTCTGCCTCCTGGGTTCAAGTGATTTTCCTGCCTCAGCTTCCCAAGTAGCTGGGATTACAGGCCCGCACCACGACACCCGGCTGATTTTGTATTTTTAGTAGAGACAGGTTTTTGCCATGTTGACCAGGGTGGTTTTTGAACTCTTGACCTCTGGTGATCCACCAGCCTCAGCCTCCAAAGTGCTGAGATTACAGGTGTGAGCCACCACGCCCAGCTCAACACACTACTTTCATTTGATTACGTGAACAATAAGTGTCCCAGGGGCAATGACGAACACAAGGACTGCAACAATGCTAGCCTTCTGAAGGGACTTTATAAACAACAGTGTCGGAGTGAAACTGAGCTCATGCAACATGACTTAGCTGTGAATGGCTGTGCCTCCATACCCATGGGTAGGTCACTGAACAACAAACTGGGAGAAAGGGTGCTATATACACCTGGGAGCTACATATTTCTCTATGGGCAGTGTGAGGGTGACCAAAAAATGAGATGGGCAATGTCTGTGCCTGAAAAGCTAGTGGCTGGTGGGGTCTTGTATGCTGGGTGTGCCCATATAAACCACTCCTGGGAATGAGACACATCACTGGGCCAGCAGCCTAAAGCTGTACACCAGGACGCCTAGAGCTATATCAGAATGAATCACTGACTCTAGGTTTACATTCTTTATGAGATCTTCGATAGCATGCATAGGAGTCAGCTCTCCTAAAGAAATAATCGTAACCTGTCCCTGACCATGGCAGGTGGTGCTTCCTTTACTTTGGTAGCTTTGAACTCTCCTGGGAAGATTATTTTAGACAACACAATTGCTCTAGACTGCCTTTTAGCCCAACTGGGAAGAGTGTATGCAACTGCCAACACCTCCCACTGTACCTGGATAAACAACTCAGGCATTGCTCAAACACAAGTAGAGCAGATCTGACTGCGGACAGTGGGGCCACTGAAGGAATCTTCTCTGAGCCCTTTAGCAACTTCTAACCCAGATCCCAGGGATTCCAGGCCAGGTTACTGCCCCCAGGCAGGCCTGCGCATCCTCCTTGTAGTAGTAGTCCACTTGGCCCTGGTGAACAGTAGTGTAGCTTTGCTTTGCAGGTCACAAGAATAATGGAGAGTGTACTGGGTCTGCAACATCTGGATATAGGGAGGGTCTGGCTAAAACAGCCAGGGCTCTGTTCCAGTCCCCCCAAAACAGGAGGTCCTTCAGTACTGTAGCCCAGTATGTCATGCTGTTCCTGCAGTATAAAACCACGGTGGGCTGCTTCCCCGTGTGGCTCAGCTGTGGTGCAAATGAGGCACAGGCAGATGAGATGCCATCCACTCTGGGGAAGTCCCTGAGCCTTGGGGCATCAGCTGGCAATGAAGCCCAGACTTCTGCTGTCCCCTGCTGCCAATCTGTAAATAACAGGCCCACTTCATCTAACTTGTGTGTGTAGAAATGAGCTGTCTCACTAGACTCAGAAAAACTGGGAACCAGCACACAGTGAGCCTGCTTCACGAGCACAATATTTACAGACTCATTAGCTCCCCATAAAAACTGGCAGCAGGATTTCAGGAGATAGCTCTGCTACAATCTGGTGTTTCATCTCTTGGGCAACTATGGGTTCTGTGGGTGTTATGTGCTCTTCTTGTTTATCTTTATCACACATTCAGCATTTCATTACATGCAGATTGTGGAGGGCCCAGAAGGAAAAAGTCCCAGTGGTGTGCTCCTTTCTCCACCCCGATACCAACCTACATATTTTCTAAGCCTTAATGCTAGTCAAATTGGAGGAGATAAGCGAAGAGTGGGTAGGCTTCACAAGGAACCAGTAAATATGAATGCTAAGATTAATTCTAGCACCAAGTAGTAAGCCTAAAGTCTCCATTCTCACATACCTGTGGAGACATTTTGATGTGGATACATACCTCCTACTCATTAGTACAAAATCCTTTGCACTGAGAACTTCAGAGCCACACTGACTGAAAAGAGTCAATTTGCAAATAATATTTTCTACAGAACACTAAATAGGGTGTCTTTTATCCTATTTAGTTTAGTGCCCACTGGTTTGTGGCAATGGTCCCTCAAGGGATAACACATAGTCCTATCTTGCTGTCCTTGGAACCAGAGCTACAACTGCCTTCCCCCTTCTCATGTACACGGATCTGGGGCTCCACGACTGAACTCATCCGCTCTGGCTGCCTACCTCACTGTCCCCATCACACTTAGAAAGTCACTGAAGACAACTGAGTGCTTCCTCAAGACCAGCCAGAGACTGTAACCAGGAAACAGAAGTGTTCATCAGCATGCCCATGATTACTTGCTGCGTAAGTGCATGAATATAGGCCAAGACTAAAGAGAAAAACATTCCGGTTCGACAGGTCAAGCACTCTGGAGGATTTTTGGCCACTTTTTCATTCTTCAGACCCTACAGGTTGGCTAACTCTCCACCCACATCCAGCCGCCTTCCTCATGGCCAGTTGCCAGTGTACAAACCCCCCCCAATCCCCAATAGCCTTGAGTAGCCAGATGACAGAATTCTTGGCCAATCATTTAGTGAGGCTGTGGAGAGATAAGCCTGTAAAATTTTACTTTTCAGGAAATCTGGAAACCTATAGTCTCCATGCCTGATCAGCAAAGAAGCAGTTCTCTGTGGGCACCAGAGACGGACCCAATGTGGAGACCTGCAAGTGTGTGTCTGGCCCTGAACTCACAAGCACAGGGCAAGCTTCCTGAGCATTGAAGAGAATATGCGGGAGAAGCAAACACAAACTGAAAGAATATGCAAGGTGTCTTTCTCAGATGTTGCTCTGTGACAGATGGTAGGGGCAGGAGTGATGGAAAGAGACTGAGAAGATCTGGACATGGAGGCTGGAACAGCCAGGGTGTGATTCAGAGAGGCGGAGGCGCGTGAGAAGGAAGGTGGATTTTAAGGCTGGAAATATGAGGGTCAACGGTCCAACTCACTCAGAGAAAGAATCACAGCACAGCCCTGGCTGATGGCAAATCAAGGAGAACTAGGGGACTGGAAAGAATTCTGCTAACAGGCAGGAGCTCCTGAGGAGGAATTTGTAGCAAAATTAGCAAGTGGAGATAATGATTTTTGGCTGTTTTTTCTGTTCTTCAAGAAAACAGGAGCTAACTAGAAGGACTGGAGAACAGAGCTGCCAAAACTAGTGGGGAGCCCCCTAGAAACGGTGGCGTTGTCCACCAAACAGACCCCGCCAAGGTTGTACCTGGCCTTATGTCTCCTTCACCTTTCTGGCCCCACGCAGCCACCAGACAGCCATGCCCAGCAGCCCCCTACAAAGCCACAGAGTGGCCAGAGTGAGCCCCAGCAGAAACACAAAGACATCCAACAGGTATTGTTCATGCCAGGGCTGCTGGAACACATAGGGCTTGAGATGCGCTGCCCCGCCTGTTTTGAGGACATGGTCAATCCAGCCCACTAGCCGCTGTGTGGGGCTGAGAGGGTGGGAACGCAGGATGACGCTGGCAGCCACTGCTGCAGATTTGTACCTGTTGGGAGAGGAAGAGAGGGGCATTACTAATGTGACCTCACGAGAGTTAGAATGTGTGATCCATTCTATATGATGCACTAAAGACTGAGTTTCAAGGAAATTTTGTTGGCCTGGCTTTGCAATAATCTATCTGGGCTCCCTTGAAAAGTTTAATCATGACACCTACATGCAAAGATCCAGGTTTAATGCTAAAAGTCTTAACTATGGCAGGGCGCGGTAATGCCAGCACTTTGGGAGGCTGAGACAGGTGGACCACAAGGTCAGGAGTTTGAGACCAGCCTGACAAACATGGTGAAACCCGGTCTCTACTAAAAATGCAAAAATTAACCGAGCATGGTGGCACATGCCTGTAATCCCAGCTACTCGGGAGACTGAGGCAGGAGAATAGCTTGAATCCAGGAGACAGAGGTTGCAGTGAGCCAAAGCCACTGAACTCCAGCCTGGGTGACAGAGCAAGATTTCATCTTTAAAAAAGAAATTTTTTTTTTAAGTCTTAAACTACAAAAAAGTAACTAAGTCCACAAGGAGTCTTATGATGCAGCCTAGGAAAAGTATGTCAATGTAATTATTATACGTATACATGGAGCACCTACACTGTGCCAGTCTCTAAATGGGGCGGCAAACCTCATCCTGGGGAATATCAGGCACAGGCTTCACATTTCCCCAAAATGAAAAGGTAGGAAATGATTCTTAGCATCTAACTTAAATGCTCTTGCTCTCAGAGAACACAGGTCAGCTGTTGGCATCACACACATACTATTCCATGTCCTAGAAAATACAGTTTTAATCTAAAGCAAAACAAAACCAACCAAACAACAACAACAAAAAAGATTCCCATAGTGCCCTTAGTGTTTTGCCTTCATTCATCATTATGACCACAACCCCAGAGAGCTGCATACCTCTTGTCTTCCATGATTTGTTTCATCTTCAGAGCCAGTGTCTCTGCCTTGAGCTTCTTTAACGAAATAGAGACACCAAACTTTTTGGCTTCTACTCGGATCATGTTTTCAGGCTGGTCTCCAAAGACAGGGATCCCCACCATGGGCACACCATGCTGGATGGCCTCCATTATGCTATTCTGCCCACCATGAGTGACAAATAGACGGATGCTGGGGTGAGCTGTTGTAAATAAGAAAGAGGGTGGGACATTTCAGGATGAAACTTTCAAAACATCAGGCAGAAATTCAGGGCATAGGAAAATGCCAAGGGGATCTAGTGATGTGTTGGAGCCATTGCATCTCATGACTGTGCTTGGGTCACATCCAAGGTTACAGTTCCAAGATACAGGATTCCAAGCATTGCTATCTTATGGAAATATCTCTCCTCAGCTAGAAATTCAGCTCAGGCTTAGCATTGAGTGATTCTATAGAGGAGAGTGTTGAGCAAGGCACACATCTCTATCTGTCCATCCATTCTTCATTCTCTGTGTCTTCCATGTGCCTCTGTTTCCCTCACCTCTATTCTGTGTGTCCCTCTCTGTTTTTACCTCCTTTGTCTATGTTGAGCCCTTTTTTATCCAATGACAGCTGATTTCCCCTTTCTTGTATTCCTGACATATTCATTGACATCACAACTCATGTGTCACTCATAAAACTCATATTGATTGTATGGTATCCTCAATTAGAAAAGAAGCCCCTTGAAAGTAGACTGGATCCTTCACCCCTGTATTTCCAGTTCCTGTCTTTCCATGCCAGCATTACTTAGAGCTAACTGAAGTGGCTGTTGATAATGACAAACACGTCTCAACCTGGGTCACTCAACTGCAGTGTGCATCACACTCCTTGTCTTTTCTCTGAAATGGAAGGCAAGTGCCCCACCCTAGAATTTTAAAAAATATATTTACAGAAGTAGGACCAGGAATCTGCAACGTAAATTTCCCAGATTCTTTTGAGCCGTAATCTTGGTTGTGAACTTCTGCTCTAGCCAGTGGCTATGGCAGTGTGGTGTCTTTAAGAAGCTGCACTGGGCACAGAGAAAACCTGTTTGGGGCGAGGGAGCTCTCTCTGGTCCCAAACAACTCAGTAGACAAAATCACCAACTGTGAAGTTGTCAAGCTTGGCACACAGGTATATTGGCACATCCTAAAGACATCGTTGGCATTAATGATGTGATGGTAGAAGCTGCTCAGACCCTTAGTAAATTAAGAGGATGTGTCCACATTTATGGGTGGATGTGTGCTTCTGTGGGTGCGGGTAGCCAAACTGGTGCTCACAAAATCACTGAAGAGAGTGGTTAACTCTCCCAGCCTCTGCTATATACATTCAGAGTTGACAGGTTGTCTTGAATTTTGTTTGGGGGACATTGTCCAAGACCAAATGGAGTAGTTAAAGAGACTTGACAGGAATATCACATAGGGCTACAGACATCAGGCCTGGGATAGAAAAGAATGAAGGAAGGATGGCCGTTTTGGCATCTGATCCCACTGGAAGTAAAGCCTGGTTTCCCAAGAACTCTAATTGGCTGCTACTTTTCTGTCCACTGAGCCTCACCTGTACCTTTCAATAGCTCCTTCTGAGGTTGGTACAAATGCTCAGCTAAAAGTCAGAGCCCCACTGAGCCCCAAAGACAGGTCAGTGTAAGGAGAGGAGCAGACCTTGGCAGCTCTTACCCAGGAGGTCACTCTGAGGAAGCCAGGCCACAATTTTCACATTTGCAGCCAGGTGGACATCTTTGGGCAAATGAGAATACTGACACTTCCATATCACCCCCTGGGATAGGTGGGCAAAGGCATTGTTCATCTCCTCGAAGATTTCCCGATTCTGACAGGTGTTCACCATGGAGCCCAAGGTCACAAGGACAAAACCAGAGTCCCCAAACTTGGCAATGAAGTTCTCCAAGTCCTGGAGAAAGATTACCAAGGTAGAGAGGTGACAAAATTGTTGGTGAAAGCTTAGTTGACCACAAAATGAAAATCAGATTATTTACTAACACAGTGCCTTGTCCTCACTGTCCCAAAGCTATTATCATAGCTCTTAGTATAGCTCAATACTGGCTGCATTGTGGTCATGTGTTGGTGAACATGACAAGGAAGAACATCTTTCTTCCTTGAAGCCCTGACCCTCGTGTCTGGGCCTTTCTTGATCTTCCACCCATTATAGGCCCAGGGAGTCACAGGAGTTTTCCAAGGTCACACTAGAGGTAATAGTATCTGGAAGAGCATTACTAGGTAGCCAGGGTCCTACATGAGGAGTGGGACTTCCGGAGGCTGGAATGGAGAAGCTCTGCTGCAGGCAGAAATGGTGGCAGAATAAGATAAGGCTCCTCTCCATCTACACAAAAGGTACCATTTTAGTGTGTTTTCCTCCAGTGTTTTATGATAGTCTCAGTCACTGATCTTTTTGTGTATACTTCATCCTGTACCTCAGTAGTTCACTCACAGGACTACAAATTATAACCACAGAGAAAGATTTTTTAAAAGCAGCAATGTCATAGGGAGGTGGAGGAAGATGGCAGAATAGAGGCCTGAAGTGATTGTGCCCCCCTCAGGAAAACGAAATTAGCAACTATCCACAAGAAAACACCTTCATAAGATCAAAAAAATCAGATGAGCAACCACCATTCCTGGTCCTAACATCATAATGAGGAATGAGGCACTGAGAAGGTAGGAAAGACAGACTTGAATTACCACGTGGTGCAGAGAGAGAATCTGTGTGCTTAGGGAGGCAGAGCCCAGTGACTATACACTTTGCACTGGAAGTCAGTGCCCTGCAGTCACAGAACAAAGCAACACAGGGAAGAATTCAGCTGGCACCCATGCAGGGAGCATTTAGATCAGCCTTTGCCAGAGGAAAAGCATCCACCTCAGCAGTAGGAACCTCAGTGCTTGTTAGACCAACCACCGCAGGCTAAAGTGCTCTGGGGTTCTAAATAAACTTGAAAGGCTATCTAGGCCACAAGAACTAAAATTCCTAGAGTGCATGTGACCTGGTGAGAAACCAGCCAGGGCAGCCAAGAGAGGGCTTGTGTCACCCCTCCCCCAACTCCAGACAGGACAGCTCACAGCTCCAGGAGAGATTCTTTCCTCCAGGAGAGGAAAAGGAAGAGTGAAAAAGTCTTTGTCTTGCAACTTGGGTACTAGTTTGGCCACAGTAAAATTAAGCACCAAGAAGAATCCTAATATCTCCATATCTCAGCCTTAGCTCCTGGACAACACTGCTATATATGCCCTGGGTCAAAAGAGAACCTGCTGCCCTGAAGGGAGAGACCTAAGCCTGGCAGGATCCATCACCTGCTAACTAAAAAGCCCTTGGGCCTCAAATAAACATCAGCAGTAGCCAGGCAGTACTTCTCATGGGCTTGGTGTGAGGAGGCCATGGGCAAAGACTCCCGCTTTAGAAAGGGAGGAGGTAGAGTAAGTAGATCCCTACAATTCCCAATTCCAGGAGCCAGTTCCCAGACAGATTTGCTAGACCCAACCTGGGCCAGAAGGGAACCTACTGCCCTAAAGGGAAAGGTATAAGCTTAGAAGAATTCACCACCTGCTGACTAAAGAGATCTTGAGCCTTGAATAAACATCAGCACTAACCAGGCAATAGTTATCACAGGCCTTAGATGAGGCCTAGTGCTGTGTTGGTTTCAAGTGTAATCCAGCATAGTTTCAGTGGAGGTGGCCATGAGAGTATTTGTGTCACCCCTCCCCCAACTCCAGGCAGTTCAGCACAGGGAGAGAGAGAAACTCTGTTGATGTGTGGGAAAGTAAGGGAAGAGAACAAGAGACTCTGCCGGGTAATCCAAGGAATTCTCCTGGCTCTTAACTAAGACCACCAAGGCAGTACTTCTGCAAGTCTACAAGAGTTGGCATGACTGAGCTTGGAGTGCACCCTAATGCAGACACAGGTGCAGTGACAAAAGACTTAGATTACAACACTCAATTCCCTCGAATAGGAAAGTTTTCTCAAGGACAGGCACAAAGAAGCCCAGACTGCAAAGATTAGAATAAATACTTAACTCTTCAATGCCCAGACATTGATGAACAAGTTACAAGCATCAAGACCATCCAGGAAAACATGACTTCACCCAGCAAACCAAATAAGGTACCAGTGACTAATCCTGGAGACAAAGAAAAATGTGATCTTTTGGACAGGGAATTCAAAATAATCATTTTCAGGAAGTTCAATGAAATTCAAGATAACACGGAGAAGAAGTTCAGAATCCCATCAGATAAATTTAGCAAAGAGATTGAAAGAATTAAAAATAAAAAAGTAAAAATTCTGGAGTAGAAAATGCAATCGACATATTGAAGAATGCATCAGAGTATCTTAAAAGAATTGATCAAGCGGAAGAAAGAATAAATGAGCTTAGACAATATAGATCTAAATAGAAACAACAAAACCTTAGTGGACTGGGATATAAAGTTAAAGTGTAGAATTTTTATTACTGTTCTTTTTTGCTTATTGGTTTGTTTCTTTTTGCAATCAAAGTTAAGTTGTCATCAGTTTAAAATAATGGGTTATATGCTACTTGTAGTAACCTCAAATCACAAAACCTACAACAGATAGACCAAAAAAAGCTGTGAGAAATTAAAACATACAACCAAAGAAAATCGTTTTCACTAAAAGGAAGACAAGAAGAAAGAGTAGATCACAAAACAACCAGAAAACAAATAACAAAATTGCAGGAGTAAGACCTTACTTACAAATAATAACATTGAATGTAAATGGACTAAAACTCTCCAATCAAAAGAGACTGACTGAATGAATGAAAAAAGAGACTTAACATTGTTGCCTTCAAGAAACATACAGCCTATAAAAACACATAGACTGAAAATAAAGGGATAGAAAAATCTATTCCATGCAAGTGGAAACCAAGAAAAAAGAAGGAGTAGCTATACTTACATCAGATAAAATAGATATCAAGACAAAAACCATGAAAACAGACAAAGGTTATTATATGATTTTAAAAAGGTTGATTCAGCAAGCACAAGTAACAATTATAAATATACAGGCACTCAAAATTGGAGCACCCAGACATATAAAGAAAACATTATTAGAGGTAAAGAGAGAGATAGATAGACCCCAATACAGTAACAGATGGAAAACGTAACACTTTCAGCATTCGACACATCATCCAGACAGAAAATCAACAAAGAAACATTAAACTTAATCTGAACTACAGATTAAATGAACCTAATAATATTTGTAGAAATTTTCTTCCAATGACTGTAAAAAAGGCATTTTTCTCCTCAGCACATGGACCATATTTAAGCATAGACCATACATCAGGCCATAAAACAACTCTTAAGAAATTCAAAATATTGAAATTATATGAGGTATCTTTTTAGACCACAATGGAGTAAAACTATAAGTCAATAAAAAGAAGAACTCTGAATACTATACAAATGCATGGAAAATAAACAGTATGCTCCTGAGTGACCAGTAGGTCATGAAGAAATTAAGAAGAAAATTCAAAAAAATTATTGAAACAAATGATAATGAAAACACAACATACCGAAACCTATGAGATACAGTGAAAATACTAAGAGGAAAATTTATAGCTATAAGTGCCTACATCAAAAGAGTGAAAGACTTCAAATAAACAATTTAGGATGTATCTTAAAGAACTGGAAAATCAAGAGCAAACTAAACCCAAAATTAATAGAAGAAAGAAAAAATAAAGATCACAGCATGAAATTTAAAATTTAAAAATATGGAAGATTAATGAAATGAAAAGTTTGTTTTTTGAAAAGATAAACAAAATAAACAAACCTTTAGCCAAGCTAAGAAGAGAGAAAAAACCCAAATAAATAAAATCAGATCTAAAAAAGAGACATTCTCTAGCGTCTTTTTTTTAGAGACGCTACAGAAATTCAAAGGATCATTAGAGACGTCTATGAGCAACTATATGCCAATAAATTGGAAAACCCAGAAGAAATGAATATGTTCCTAAACACATACAACTTACCAAGATCGATCCATGAAGAAATCCTGAACCTGAACAGACCATAACAAGTAACGAGACTGAAGTTGTAACAAAAAGTCTCCTAGCAAAGAAAAGCCTAGGACCCAATGGCATCAATGCTGAATTTTACCAAACATTGAAAGAACTAATACCAATCCTACTCAGACAATTCTAAAAAACATAGAAGAGAAGGAAATACAAGCCCTGTATTACCTTTATACCAAAACTAGACAAATACACATAGAAAAAGGAAACTACGGGCTAATATCTCTGATAAACATTGAGGCAAAAATCCTCAACAAAATACTAGCAAATCAAAATCAATAACACATTAAATAGATCATTCATCATGACAAAGGGGGATTTATACCAGGAATGCAAGGATAATTCAACATGTGCAAATCAATTAATGTGATTCATCGTATCAACAGAATGAAGGGAAAAATATGATCATTTCAATTGATGCTGAAAAAGCATTCAATAAAATTCAAAGTCCCTTCATGATAAAAATCCTCAAAAAACTGAGAATAGAAGGAACATACCTCAACATTATAAAGGTCATATATGACAGATCCCAGACTAGTATCACACTGAATGGGGGAAAAACTAAACACCTTTCCTCTAATGTGACAAGGATGCTGACTTTCACCATCGTTATTTAACATAATACTGGAAGTTCTAGCTAGAGCAATCAGAAAAGAGAAAGAAATAAAGGGCAGTTAAAATGGAAAAGAAGTTAAATTATCCTAGTTTGCAGATGATGTAATCTTATATTTGGAAAAACTTAAAAACTCTATTGAAGAAATTATTAGAACTGATCAACAAATTCAGTAAAGTTGCAGGATACAAAATCAACATATATAAATTAGTAGCCTTTCTATATACCGACAGTGAATAATCTGAAAAAGAAATCAAGAAAGGAATTTCATTTATAATGCCCACAAACAAAATAAAATACTTAGGAATAAAGTTAAACAAAGAAGTAAAAGATCTCTACAACGAAATCTATAAAGAATTGATGCAATTAATCAAAGAGGACATTTTTAAAAATAGAAAGCTATTCCACGTTCATGCACTGGAAGAATCAATATTGTTAAAATGTCCATACTACCCAAAGCAATATACAGATTCAACCCAATCTCTATCAAAATACCAGTCGCATCCTTCACAGAAGGAGAAAAAATAATCCTAAAATTTATATGGAGCCACAAAAGACCCAGAATAGCCAAAACTATCCCAAGCAAAAAGAACAAAACTGGAAAAATCACATTACCTGACTTCAAGTTATACTACAAGCCTATAGTAACCAAAACAGTATGGTACTAGCATTAAAGCAGACACATAGACCAGCAGAACAGAATGGATAACCCAGTAATAAATTCATACGTCCATGGTGAACTCATTTTTGACAAGGGTGCCAAGAACATAAGGACAATCTCTTCAATGAATGATGCCAAAAAAAACCCCTAGATGTTTATACACAGAAAAATAAAACTAGACCTCTATATCTCAACATACAAAAACCAAATCAAAATGTATTAAAGACTCAAATCTAACACTTTGGGAGGCCAAGGTGGGTGAATCACCTGAGGTCAGGAGTTCGAGACCAGCCTGACCAATATGGTGAAACCCCGTCTCTAATAAAAATACAAAAAATTAGGTGAATGTGTTGGCAGGTGCGTTTAATCCCAGCTACTCAGGAGGCTGAGGCAAAGAATCGCTTGAATCCAGGAGGCAGAGGTTGCAGTGAGCCAAGAGTGCTGCACTATTGCACTCCAGCCTGGGCAACAAGAGCAAAACTCCATCTCAAAAAAAAAAAAAAGAAAGAAAGAAAAAGAATAGAAAGAGACTTAACTGTAAGGCCTCAAGCTATTAAACTACTAAAAGATAACATCAGGGAAACACTCCAGGATGTTGATCTGGGCAAAGATTTCTTTTTCTTGTGTAATATCTCTAAAGCACAGACAACCAAAGCAAAAATGGACAAATGAATTCACATTAAGTTAGAAAGCTTCTATACAACAAAGAAAATGATCAACAAAGTGAAGAGATAACCCATGGAATGGGAAAAAATGTGCAAATTCTTCTTCTGACAAGGGATTAATAACCAGAATACATAAAAGCTCAAACAACTCTATGAGAGCAGTTTAGAGGCTCATTGAAAAATTAAAAATAGAACTACCATATGATTAAGCAATCTCACTGCTAGGTATATATCCAAAAGAAAAGAAGTCACTATATTGAAGAGATATCTGCAATTCCATGTTTATTACAGTACTATTCGCAATAGCCAAGATATAGAATCAATCTAAATGTTCAACATCAGATGAATGAATAAAGAAAATATAGTATATGTACAGAATAGAGTACTCATTAGTCATGAAAAGAAAGGGATACTGTCATTTACAACAACATTATAGCACATTATAGCACAACAGGGGGACTACAGTCAATAAAAATTTATGATACATTTTCAAGTAACTAAAAGCCTATCATTGGAATGTTCATAACATAAAGAAATGATCAATGCCTTGAGGAGGTGGATCACACACACACACACACACACACACAAAGCAGTAATGCTCTGTCTCAAAAGCAGACCTGGGCAGCTTATATCAAAGTCCCCTCGGCAGTGCTTAACAAAGTTAGTGTTGTGAAAGGAAAATAAATCTCAGGATCCTTAAATTGTTATGCCAAAGAGAAAAGTCAAGCTGGGAACTCATCAGGCAAAACTGCCTCCCATTCCATTCCTAAATATGGTAGCTACAAATATTTGGGGGAAAAAAAAGCTGCATACCTCCTTCACCATTTGCCCACAAGAAAATTCCTTGTGGACAAAGTGTAGACGGAACTCAAAAGCATCCCACTGCTCGCTGACAAATATATGTCAGCCAGCTTCCTTTGCCCTATCGTTTCACTAAGCCAGACTAGGCATAAGTGACTATATCTGTAAATTGTGCATTCAGTGAAAGGCTAATCAGAGACTCCAAAAAATGCAACCGTTTGTCTCTTGTATGCCTGTGACCTAGAATCCCCCTCTCTTGCCTTTCCAGACCAAACCAATGTTTATCTTACACATATTGATGGTTGTCTCATGTCTCCCTAAAATGTCTAAAACCAGCCTGTGCCCTGACCACCTTGGGCACGTGTCGTTAGGACCTCCTGAAGCTGTCATGGGTGCATCCTTAACCTTGACCAATAAAGTTTCTAAATTGTTAAGACCAGTGACATATATTTTGGGCTCACAGTATCTGATGTCTTAATTTTGTGTTGAGCACAATTTTGTCAATTCTTACTTCCAAATATTTCTTTCAACTCTGATTCTAATTCTCTCTGCCCTATAGGGGCTCACCCCAGCTCCCAACCCATCATTCTATTAAGTGATTCAGCCCCTGCTGGATTCCAGCCAGCATACCACTTACCATTCCAAAGGACCTCTTTGAAACAGCCTTGTCATTATTTTTATAATTATAAGGCAACATAAACCATTATATAAAAATTGGAAAATGCAGTGAAGAAACATTTTTTTTTTTAATGTATATTGTCTCACAATCATTACAACACTTACTCCCATTGTTATCCTCTTAACAATGTCCTCCCCTTACTCCATGGTGGAGGCCTGACCCACTCACCTGATAGCTAAGGTTTCTGGTAAATCCCCAGTTTTACTCATGCAATTGAATCTTCTACTGCACTAGTCTAGCCAGCACTGCCCAGGGAACCCAGCCTCATGGCCATGTCAATTACATCATCGCACACTGGGCCTCCTGCTCCCCAACCTGGGGTGCTTTCCCTCTTGGCTTCATTCTTAAAACTTTCTGCCACCAATGCAAGGCTGATATCACCCATAGATCATTCTCCAACTCTTCCTGCTCACCCAATGCAAGTTCAGAGGAGGAAGGATGAACATTTTGGTATCTGGAAAGCCCAGGCCCGCAGGGCCTCTGAAATACATGGTGGTGGGAAAGTTACCTACATCACCTGAGCTTCTGTCCTTCTCCATTTATAAAAGATGATCACACCTCCCTACTGGTGGCAGGATATTAAATATGATAACTTCTGTAAAATGGGAACCCAGTGCTCAGAGGCAACAGCTGGTTAACTCATCTTAGCTCTCCTCCCTTTGGAAAATTTCTCTAGCAGAGGTTCTGAGTTGTGAAACTGCTGTGCATTTTCAAATCACCTGAATTGCAAATTACAGTGGCAGGGGTCCACCCCAGACAAATCAAGTCAGAAGATGTAGGTGGAGCCCAGAGCCAGGGCTCTATAGGCAGATAACACTGGAAATTCTTGCTGTCAGTCCCTCCAGTCCCACCCTGCTTACTCTGAATCCACATTGTTGGCTGTTTCATTGTGAGTAACTTATCTCCTTAATAATTATTGCATGTAATGGGCACTAACTACATATTTATTGTACACGTGATCATACAAAATAAAAATGCAAACAAAAAATAAAATTTTAACTATAGGGCTTGTTTTACCAAGGCTAGAACTAGGGTGTGGCAAGAGAGGAGACAGAGGAACTCATATGAAGTTGCCCTTGATCTCAAGATGGTGCAAGGCCTAACACTGTACTTGCCCCACCCTGAAATTCAGCACTTCCTTTAAAATCATGCCCTAGGTGCTCCCTTGCCTATCCCCACTTCAGCCTCAGGATCCCAAGGCAGGTGGCAGCCACCAACTATGCACTGAAGGCCTCTGTGTGAATTCCAAACTGAATGCTAAGGGTTCACTTACTTGCGGAACTGGTTTAATAGGTTTTTCCATCAAGCCCCCAACATAAACAGTGTTGGGAAGCAGGGGCCGAGCAAAATCAAAGGCAAAGTCAGAGTTAACGAACCACAACTCTGCTTTCAATAGAAGATGAGACAAAACAGGCCTAGAGTCTTCTGTGAAATGCTCCTGGATGGTGTTGTCAAATGTAGACTGCTTGTGCCATTGCCTCCTGCAGAAACTAAAGAACATCAGAAAATTCTTTACTCGGCCCCAGAAGTCCATGTGATCAGTCAGAAAGGAATGGAATACTGGCACATAAGACAGAGGGCTTGGTAGCCCAAATTCCACAGAGCTGAATGAGGTGGGAAGAATGGCCACAAATCGCTTCTCAAGCTTCTCAGCAATCAGGAAAGGACAATAGTCAAAAGTTTCAACTATCACCATGTCGAAGTTCTCATTCTTTAAGGAATCCATGATATCCTTTCTCCTTAAAAAATGACTGCACTGCAACGCCAAGTATTCTAGAATGTTTAATAAGTTTTCAAATTTTTCTCTGTAAGAAAAAAATAAGTAATGAATATTCATGGAAGTGTTAAATTTACAATACATAAAAGTACCTTGAGATACAAAGAAAAATATCCCAGAGAAGCAACAACCTTTCTAACAGTCACCCACGTATACAACCAGTTTCCCACAAACACTCTCTGCCATGATCATCCTGGCTGAAATGCTTCTACTCCCTAGAGCATACCTCTCTCCCTTCTCCTTTTCTCCCCTCATCCAAATTCCAACCACCATCCATGCTGATTCAAGGTCCTTCTACTCTGAGAGCCATCTCAGACTGTAGCAGATCTCACAGTTCTGTCTCCTTGATAAATTAGGTGACATTCTGTTTAGCCCTCATTTACATACACACTTTTTATGAGTGATTTTCTTATTTACCCAGCCAAACTGTGTAAGTAACTTGATGATAGAGTTTGTCAGTATTGATATGTGCTATGTTTTTAGCACTGTGTGTTTGCATATGAGAGATTTCCTCAACCAAGGAACTCTTTGATTACATTACAACCAAAAATCTCAGCTGAAAATGAGAATTCCACCTTTCCAACCCTGGGAGTTAAGCAATGGAAAAAACAAAAACATAGGGAACATGATTTTTGAAACACATTATTTGTTTTCTTTATTATTTATTTCTTTATTGTTTACTTATATTTTTATTTTACAAATTTGTATTTATTATTTATTTAATTATTTATTATTACTATTTCTTTCCACCTCAATGCAACCTGTAGTATTCAGATAAGATAATGTCAAAGCTTTACTGACATGTGCCTATGCAAAGGGACAATTCTTTTGCAATGCATTTCCAATAATGCCTGCATAGAATATGATTCTATTTTACAGAATGTTGAAGAAACAGTTGAGGATGCCTAGGCCAGCTGAAATAAGTGCAAGAGCTCTAGATATCAGAAAACTACTGACTGCATGGAAGACTGAGAGAATCAATTCCCTAACACACCTGTAACCCGTACACCACTGTACCATTGCCCTCCAGTTAGAGAAGGTCTCTCACTAGTGATATGCAGATTGGCTGAAATCATCCTCTGCTGTACGTGTTTAAAGATTCACATAACAAAGGAATGGTTGCCAAACATTTCTTAAAGTTTCAGTAATGGGCTAGGCACGGTGGCTCATGCCTGTATCCCAGTACTTTGGGACGCCAAGATGGGTGGATCACCTGAGGTTAAGAATTTAAAACCAGCCTGGCCAACATGGTGAAACTTCATCAATACTAATAATACAAAAATTAGCTGGGCGTGATGGTGCACACCTGTAATCTCAGCTACTTGGGAGGCTGATGCAGGAGAATAGATTGAACCCTGGAAGCGGAGGTTGCAGTGAGCCGAGGTCGCACCATTGCACTCCAGCCTGGGTGACAGAAGAAAAACTCTATCTCAAAAAAAAAAAAATTTAGTAATGTAGTAAAACTTATTAGAATGTAGTTCATTAGTCATATTTATAATTAAGCTAATAAAATATTTTAAGAATGCACTCTTACCACACCTGTCCTTAAAAATATTAAACTGGGTAAGAAGAGCAAGGCATATGCTTAAAATATGTAACTAACTATGCAAGATGATAAGGCTAAGTGTCAAATAGGTGGGTTATATCTGACGTATAGAGGAGAGAATGTAGTGCTCCAGCTTGGGTGAGGAGGGAGACTTTATGGAAAAAGTCAGATATGAGCACTACCTCGACTACTGAGTAGAATTTTCAAGGAAAGACGAGTAGGTAAGGCCACTGTGATTAACAAAGATAGGCCTGGATTTCTGTGTTTTCTCTTTTATGTCTAAAATTAAAAAGTTACGTGTTCTTTCCCATCCAGGTTAAGCAAAATGAGTCTGTTTCATGTTTCATTTTGTACCAGGTTGATTGATTTTTTAAAAGAACTTTGCATGGCTATATGTTTAACTTCTATAAAAGCAATATTCATAAGCCTTCTTTGTATTTATGAATATATATGAGAAGAAAGGAAGACAGTAAGTGGGAAAAGGTGACTCTAATTTTCCCACCAACAATGAAAAGTTGAGGGGCCTATCCACATTTCTGTGTTGGGGAAATTACAGGCAATGATTGTAGGTGAAATGTTGCAAGGAAATGCAGAAGAAACAATTTCCCACTTTCTACAGAAAACGTGTAAGGAAGACGGTACAGAGTAAAGAATTTCCAGTGACTTTACTGGATGATGTGGCATACAATACTCATCTACTCCCCCTATCATCTGTCTCTCCATCTATCAATCCATCCATCCATCCATCTATCTATGCATCATCCATCCATTCATCCACCCATCCATCACTTCCTCTTATCCTCTTTCCAAGTACCTATGCATCCATCCATTCATTTGTATAATTAAAATAGTGACTCTTTGGTTCAAAGAATTAAAAAAACAGTTACCTTCCAGATAAAGTTTCTTCCAGAAAGAAATTGAAACTCTTCTTAAATTCTCTTTGATGATCTTCGGGTGCAAGCCAACTGATAACTTGGTAAGATTTTTCCTCCTTTTTAAAATCTTAAGAAAGCAGCAACAGGTTAAAGCAAGTTAAATATGCTACACAAAAGAGTGACATTAGCGTAACAATATCAAAACTTATTTCAAAGATTATTTATTTGAATGGTTGCTTCTTTAAGTGTTTTTTAACGTATGCATTCATTAATTTGAGACAGAGTCTTACTCTGTCATCTAGGCTGGAGTACAATAGCACGATTTACAGTCTCAGGCTTCTGAGTTCAAGCAGTCCTCCTACCTCAGTCTCCCAAGTAGCTGGAAATACAGGCACACATGACCACACCTGGCTAATTTTTAAAATTTTTTGTAGAGACACGGTCTCGCTATGCTGCCTAGGCTGGATCCAAACTTTTGGCCTCAAGTGATTCTCCTGCTTTCAGCCTCACAAACCACAGAATTACAGGTGTGAGCCACTGGGCCCAGCCTTCCTTTTTTATCTCATTTCGCTGCTTTCTCATTCAATCTTATAAACTGATGAAAATTTATTGAAATTGTTACAGTAATTCAAGATTTCCTTTTCAGTTTAGTTATAGAAGCTTCAATTTAAAAGTATAGCTATTTGTTTCATTTTACAGGTCAAGAAAACAAAGGTTAATTTAGTTTAAAATAATTTGTCAAAATTACACGCATAGAAAGTGGTAGAGTTTGTATTTAAATACACTATGTCTGTTTGATTCCAGAGCCTCTGTTCTTTCTGTTTTACAAAACAATTATTTTTATTATTTAAACTGATACATGCAAATAATTTTTAAATTCAGTCAAAAAGTACTAACAGACTTCATTGAAAGAGTAGTCCCCATCACCTCGACTGACAAGCTTGGCCCTTCTTCATTACCCACGTGTAATAAGAAGTCTGACTCCATTTTTGCTGTTTGCCTCTTGACAAATTTCAAGCCCTATTTCCCCTTCCCCTTCCTATGCTTCATGTGAGCAAACTGGTAAGAAAACCTACACCTTCTCTCTTATCCCTGGTAGGAGTTTCAACCCATGCAAGTCAGGACAATGAAGGGAAATCATCAGCCCATCCTAACCCCTCCTCACAATAAAAACTCAAGCCAGTCATCCCTCCCTGTTCTCTAAAGCCATTTTTCGGATTTGCCTGGTAGCCTGTCCTGCTATTCCAAAAATAAATAAATAAATAAATAAGGAAAAACAATACCCTCACCCTATGAATCATAAACCTTTCATAATGTGCCTTCATCAGATGACATCCAAACCAAATTCTGTGTAAGGATTGTGAGTATATTAACACATAGTCCCACACATATTAAGGTCCTTACACTCAAGCTAATTGAAATGAAAGACTCTATTCAAGTGTCTACCGGTAAATCCTTTGCAGTCATAGAGTTAGCTAGTATGTTCTTTTCCATGCTGATTTTAACAGTCACAGTGTGTCTTTACCTTGGAAGAAACACAATGCATGGCTACCCATGGTATACTTCAGCAGCCTTACTATTGCCCACAATCTGCCAGCAAGATCTACTGCTTCTAGTTTTCTTCAGGAGTATAGATATAATATTACATTGAGGGTGTCTTCCTCTGAGGAGATTCATTTGCCACACTCATTTAAGACATAGAAACATTCAAAAAGGAGCTCACGAAGAGGATAAGCCATTGTCCTATGCAAAGTATCAGACTCAGGCCCTCAATTACATTCCAAATGATCATTTGGTTAGTTGAAGACCTCTCCATCCCCAATACTATTAAGAAACAACTATTGAGCCTCCCTGTGCCCATAAGGTTACAAGCCCAACATCTTTTAGGCCTTTTTGCATTCTAAAGACAACATAGTCCTTATTTGTAAGTTTTACTTAGGTCCGCTCATGTTTATTACTTAAAAACCAGCCCACATTGAATAGGATCTTCTGTAACAGAAGGCTCCAGAATCTATCCAAGTTGCACTATAACAGGCTCTCTCATCAGGGCCTCCCAGAGACATCTGCACTGTAAAGCTTTACCATCCTCCTTTCATGCCACCTGGAGTTCTTCTGAGCACCTGTTATGGCTGTTTGCATTTCCTATTGTTGCTTTAACAAATTACAACAAAGTCATTGGCTTAACACAACACAAGATATTATCTTATAGTTTGGGAGCTCAGAAGTCCAAAATGGGTCTCATTAGAATAAAATCAAGCTGTGGGAAGAGCCGCATTTCTTCTGAAGGCTCTAGGGAACAATCCATTTTCTTGCCTTTTCCAGCTTCTTGACGCTGACTGCATCTCTGGATCATGGCCCACTTCCAAAAGTCAATCACATCGCTCCGATTTCTTCTTTCATCATCACTTCTTTAACTCTCCTACCATTTTCTTTCCTTTATAACAGGGATGTCCAATCTTTTGTCTTCCCTGGGCCACATTGGAAGAAGAAGAATTGTCTTGGGCCACATATAAAATACATTAATGATAGCTAATGAGCTAAAAAAAAATAGCAAAAACAATCTCATCATGTTTTAAGAAAGTTTATGAATTTGTGCTGGGCCACATTCAAAGCAGTCCTGGGCCGCCTGCAGCTGGTGGGTTATGAGCTGGACAAGCTTGCTTTATAAGAACTCTTGTAATTACATTGGACTCACCTGGGGAATCCATGATAATCTCCCTGTCCCAAAATCCTTATATTAATCACATCTGCAAAGATCCTTTTGCTATGCAAAATAGCACAATCATAATTACAGGAATTCAGACATGTTTACTTTCAGGGGGGACATTATTTGCCTACCACACTGTGTTCTCTAGATCCCAGACATTCATATACATCCCTCATGGAATGAAAATGTGTTCATTCTATCCCAACATCCCTCAAAGTCTCAAACAATTATATCATCAGTTCAAAGTGAAAAATCTCATCTAAAGCTCATCAGCTCAGAATTCCTAAATCACATCATCCGAATAATCTACATCAAGTGTGGGTGAGAGTCTGGCTGCAATCCATCCAGTGGGTTTCACTATGCTGGCCAGGCTGGAGCGCAATGGTGTGATAATGGCTCACTGCAGCTCTGGCCGCTAGGGCTCACACGATCCTCCTGTCTCAGCTTCCCAAGTAGCTGAGACCACAGGAGCATGCCACCATGCCCAGCTAATATTTTATTTTTATTTTTAGCAGAGATGAAGTCTCACTATATTGCCCAGGCTGGTCTCAACTCCTGGGCTCAAGTTATCCTCCCACCTCAGCCTCCCAAAGTGCTGGGATTACAGATGTGAGCCATTACACCTGGCCAGTAGTTTCTCAAAGTTTATTGGAACTGCCACCATTCATTTTTAATCAAACTTTTAATTTAAATCAATTTAATTTAGTTACACTTTTTGAAATTAAGAAATAATTGTCTTCAAAATGAGCATACTGCAACTATTTAATCAGTATCCAGTTAAGGCAGATACGAAGGGAACTAAATGACATTCAGTGGAGAATATGAAACCTAATTAAAAGATATTAAAATGGTTTTAAGCAGGGACTCAAAAAGACATTTGTATACCAGTGTTCGTACCAGCATTGTTCATAATAGTCAAAAAATAGTCACAATAGAGAAAGCCAATTACGTGGCTGAACAGCCTTTTGCTATATCCATCAGTGGATTAATGGATAAACAAAATGTGCTGTATCCATAAAATTGAATATTTATCCAACCACACAAAAGAAGTTCTAACACATGCTACAATATGAATGAACCTGGAAGATATTATGCTAAGTGAAGCAAGCCAGACATAAAAGGACAAACATTGTATCATTTTACTTATATGCAGTACCCAGAATAGTCAAATTAATAGAGAAATAGATAGAATAATGGTTATCAGGGGCTGAAAGTAGAGGGTAAATAATGAAAGTCACTGTTTAATAGGTAGAGCTCCACTTCATGATGATGAAAAGCTTCTGAAGAAGGACGGTGACCATGGTCGTTCAGCAATGTGAATGTCCTTAAAGCCTCTAAACTGTGCATTTGAAAATGAGGTCCAGTGTTGTGGCTTCTGACTGTAATCCCGGCACTTTGGAAGGCCAAGGTAAGCAGATCACCTGAGGTCAGAAGTTTGAGACCAGCCTGGCCAACATGGTGAAATGCTGTCTCTACTAAAAATACAAAAAAATTAGCCGGGAATGGTGGCACACGCCTAATGGCACCCACCTACAGTCCCAGTTACTTGGGAGGCTAAGACATGAGAATCACTTGAACCTAGGCGACGGAGGTTGCAGTGAGCCAAGATCACGCCATGGCACTCCAGCCTGGGCAACAGAGAGAGACTCTGTCTCAATTTAAAAAAAAAAGAAAGAAAGAAAATGGTTAAAATGGTTATACATATTTTACCACAATGAAATTTTAAAATTTAAAGGAAAAAAATGTAGATTAAAAAACAGTTTTGGCCAGGCATGGTGGCTCATGCCTATAATCCCAGCACTTTGGGAGGCGGAGGCGGGTGGATTACCTGAGGTCAGGAGTTCAAGACCAGCCTGGGCAACATGGTGAAACCTTGTCTCTAATAAAAATACAAAAATTAGCCAGGCATGGTGGTGCATGCCTATAATCCCAGCTACTCTAGAGGATGAGGCAGGAGAATTGCTTGAGCCCAGAAGACAGAAGTTGCAGTGAGCCAAGATTGTCCCACTGCACTCCAGCCTGGCTGACAGAGTGAGACTGTCACCAAAAAAAAAAAAAAAAAAAAATGAACAATAGCAAAGCTTGATGTTACCTTCAAAGATTTATAATATCTCAGAATTTTGTTCCTCAAAGATGCTAACTTTTGGATTTTTTTTCTTTTTTAAATTATAGCTTTAGGAGGGGCATGTCCAGGTGTGTTGCATGGGTATACTGCATGATGCTGGGGTTTGGGCTTTTCCCTGAGCAACACTTCCATATCGAGCAATTTGGAGCATAAATTCCTAAATCCACCGAACTCTGTTATCAACCAAATCTTGAGCAAATCTATTAAGTTCTCAGGATTTCTGTTTCCTTGTGGATCAACAGAAGAGTTGATAAGATTTACGAGCTTCATTTTGGCTCAGATTCTTTGGATTCAATGACTCCATTAAGACCATCTGAAATCACTATGTGGAAACTCGTGGGCAGCCATTTATTTTTTAAGGATGCAAGACCATCTCAGTGATAGACTGCTAACTCAGCTGCAGAAATAAGGGGCCCCCTGAGAAAGCTTACTTAAATTCCAGGTATCACAAAAAGAGGAACAGTAATCTATAAAAAGAAAAGTGATTCTTACACAAAAGAAGTGTTAAATAAGGCTGAATATTTCTGTTCCATCTGTATATACAGAGAGAGAGTCTGAGATGGAGTCTTTCTCTGTTGCCCCGACTGGAGTGCAGTGGTGCATTCCCAGCTCACCACAACTTCTGCCTCCTGGTTCAAATGATTCTCCACCCTCAGCCTCCCAAGCAGCTGAAATTACAAGTGGGTGCCACCATGTTCTGCTAATTTTTGTATCTTTTTAGAGACAAAGGCTCCCTATATTGACCAGACTGGTCTCAAACTCCTGGGTTCAAGTGATCCACCTGTCTCGGCCTCCTAAAGTGCTGGGATTACATCTCACCCATCCCTGCTCAATATATTTTTTAAGCCATATGATAAAGTAGTATTGTTAAAATAATCTGTAATAATGAGCAGATGGCTGCTTGGGATGGAGTAGAAGTCAAGTTAAAGGGAAAAAAATATGGGAGTATGGAGTGTTGAGTCCTGGTAATCAGAGCCTAAGAAGCTTTTTGGCACTTTATGCGCACGCATGCATGCACACACACACACACACACACACACCCTTTTCATTTTTCCAATTGAATTCCATTTTTAAAAAATATTTTGCTAAGCCTTTCTATGCAAAAGGCATTTTGCTCTTTGCTTGGAGTAGGAGAAATCAAGAAAATTGAGGAAAGATACCTGGCATAAAAGGCCCTCTTTTGTGGTTAAGCATGGTGACGTTATGACCATGATCCTGAAGAATCTGAGAAACCCGGTCCATCAGTAGATGATGGCTTCCACCTAGGAATAATGAACAGCTTTAGTTCTGTAATGATTGGAACACAGTGTCTGAAGTCAGTAGTGATAACTCCAGGAGAGGAAAGGTAGGGAAACAGGACGTGGATAGTGAGTGGAGGAAACCAGTCTCATATCCCTCTGGGTAAAACTCAGCCCACTCACCCAGAGCATGGCTGCGCAAATCCTTATCTGTGGCTTGCCACCTCTTGTGATTCATGGCATCCATGTCAGTGTAATGAGCTACTATGTACTTAGGCCGTGGGAGTTCCTCATCCTAAGGTACATGTACATTCTAACTGAGGCCTTATGGAGACACAGAGTCCAAAAGAAATAACTGCGTTGATGGAAATACAGGTATGGCATTGTACATATGAATGTGAATGGTTCCTAAAATACAATCAATGAGAGCTGTTTCTGAGATCCCGCTCTTTGGACATTTATGCTGCTATAGGAGATAGAAATCTTAAGAGATCAGTCCAAGAAATCATCACTGGGACAGAAGGAATGTGGGACCACTACTTAGAACCAAAATCCTTAAGATTCTAATGTATTTGAAAAGAATGTACTTAATTTAGGCAAACAATGATCAAGTTCTAATTAAAACATTTGAGGACAACTGGGGAGCCCTCATGGTGGGCCTGCTGGATCCTGGTTGCACAAGAGACTAGGGAACCACTGATTCCACAAAAGTCCTACCATTCTAAGGAAAGAGAAACTTGATCCTCAAAAGAGGTACAAGTTTCATGAAATCAATGTCTTCTCTTAGTACATGTTCTAATAACACAGCCTTCGTTTGACTCTAAGGATCTCAGAGTAGAGAAAGGAAGATCAGAAGAGAAGGTAATATAATGGTAAACACCAGACGTTTGGGGGTGGGGGTGCAAGGGGAGTAGAGAAGTGGTGTGCAGCTCTCTGAATGACTCAGTTTACTTATACCCAGACTTGAATAATGTAAAGCAACAAGTACAAATCTGCCACGGCTCTTGCTCACTTTAATCCATGTGAAAACAGGTGGTCAGGAAAAAAGGGGGTCCCACAGAAACACCCATTCATGGTGGAACCTGGGGAGTCAGATGGCATTCTGGGGCAAAGACCAGGATTCCAGCACCTCAGGAACAACACCATCTCCCTCTTGGGAGTCTGAGGGAGGAGGGCCATGTACTTTCAAGAAGTTAAGAAGTTCTGTTGCTTTACTGCTACTAACACCCAGAAAGAGGGGAGAGTCTTCAGATGGACTAGCATGGTTTCTTTTCTTTTCTTTTCTTTCTTTTTTTTTTTTTTTTTGAGACAGAGTTTCGCTCTTGTTACCCAGGCTGGAGTGCAATGGCGTGATCTCGGCTCACCGCAACCTCCGCCTCCTGGGTTCAAGCAATTCCTGCCTCAGCCTCCTGAGTAGCTGGGATTACAGGCGCGTGCCACCATGCCCAGCTAATTTTTTGTATTTTTAGTAGAGACGGGGTTTCACCATGTTGACCAGGATGGTCTCGATCTCTTGACCTCGTGATCCACCCGCCTCGGCCTCCCAAAGTGCTGGGATTACAGGCTTGAGCCACCACATCCGGCCCTGGCATGGTTTCTTAAACAGTGATTTTTGAAAATCCCAGTGAAAAGGGCTTCAGAGTGGAAGTTCCGGAGTGTGGTCTCGCGGCAAGAAACCCTAAGTTAATTCCTCTTGGGACATTAGGAAGGCCACATGTACTCTTAAGAAATGCATCTCACTCCCCGTCCCTCAGTTGCCCTCTCAGGAAATCAAAATTGGCACTGAATTAGATGATCTGTGGGTTCTTCCAGCTCAATGAGACCTGATTCTCTGTGATCTAAAAGGAATCCATTAGAATCCACTATGGATTGAAGTAAAGTCTTGGGGAAGCTCGTTCCTGGGATGATCCCTTTATGCTCATATATGTTTCTCTTTCATCTTCTATTCCCTTTGGGGTAAAAATAAAAGAAATAAAGCTGAGGCCCAAAATGCAGAATTAATAGTCCCATGAATCGCTGAAAAACTGTCAGCGGCACAGGTAAAAGGAAGAAAGATCCGAATGACCTGGGTCCTCTCCTCAGCCCTGGGCGGTTCTCCAGGTCTCCTCTGGAGGAAAACACTCCACTGGCCTTGCAGCCCTGAAATACCTGCCTGCGCCACCCTGGCTCCAGATGAGCTTCGCAGAATTTGCAGTGCTGCCCTCAAGAGCGCCTTTCCCTGGTCTCCAAGAGCCTGAAAACACTCCCTGTTGTTTGCACTGGAAGCTACTGCGCACTCCCAAACACACACCCTGTGGAGCTTAGGGTGAGCCTCTGAAAGTCCCACTGCACCCTGGAGAAGGCAGCCCAGGGTCTCAAGTTCTGGGGTTAATCTCAAATTTCTGGCCCCAGCCCTGTCCGATGGGGAGCGCGTCCTGAACAGGAAGAGATAGGAGAGGAGGGTCTCTTTTTTCCAAAACTATTTCCCCCCTCTCAGCAAGAGAGGCCCCTCTCTGTCCCACAGCTGGATAGGCTTCTCCGTCCTCCAGCCGGGTCCGCAAGCCTAGCCTGGAAAATCACTTGGATGACTCTGATCAAGCGCTGTTCGCGGAACCCCTGGCAGTGCAGGTATCCGGGATGTGCCTATCTGGGAATTCTCTGGCCAAGCACTCACCTACTGTAGATATTGTCAGGATTTTGGCGGCCTCTGAGAGCAGGACCCCAGGGAGAAGGAACCCCACTAGAAGCAGCACGCGCTGCCCAGCCATGCTCACTTCCACAGGAGCCGCGGATCTCAGCCTGGGCTGCGCGCTCTGCGCCGGGCTAAGGGATCCAGTGCACCTTAGTGCGCCAAAGTCACTGGCTGGGGGAGAAAGTAAGAGAGAGGATCCTGCCAGTCTTCTGTTCTGTCCATCCTCTCTTGCCCTCTGCCCCTCCTCCCTCGTGCTCCATTGGATAATCTATTCCCACTCTACCAAACTACCAGCAGTCAGTAGGAGGGGTCGGTGAGCCCATCCTTAACCCTTCTCTGCCCGTCCGATCACAGGCCTCCCGCCTGGAAAATCCTTACTGTGAGCCAGGAATAGCAGGGACCTCAGTAAATCGCGCTGAAGAAAGCTCTATCTCCCTGGGACCCAATTCTCTTTTGCCAAGGCTGTGTGAATTTACCTCCTCTAGTTCCCGTCTAACTGCCTCTATTTATTACCTTATACTGCCAGCCCCATGATCTACTTCCTGAGACACTTGCTTAATCTTAATTCAAGAGAATCACTTGAAACCGGGAGGTGGGGGTTGCAGTGAGCCGAGACTGCACCACTGCACTCCAGCTTGGGCAACAGAATGAGACGTCCTCTCCAAAAAAATCTTAATTTTGAGCTGATGTCCTAAGCCCAAGACCACCCTAGAAGGAAATCCCCAAGGGAAATCAGTCTACCATCTCTCCTAGTGCCTCTTTAGAAGGTAACCTTCCGAAGGCTAGAGTCCTAACTCTGGAAATCTAGGTCTGTACCTGGGGGCTGAAATTCAAAAGCTGAGACTATCATTCTGAATGAGTATCCTGAAATAGGACTGGTGAATCTTTCCATAATTTCCAAGAGCACATGCTCAAGACAGCTTGTAATTCTGCCTCCTTGCAATGTCAGCCCTAGGGAGGGCAGAGATCTCTGTGTCCGGTATCCCCTTTACACACTCTCTCCTCGAACTAAAACTTGCTTTAGGAAAGGCTTTCAGTGCAACTCTAAACAAGCAGAGAAATCCTTGATTGCAGTGGGTCCTTGAATTCTGCTTGTATTCTCCCTGCCTTCTTCAATCTACAGGTGTTATTTTTTCTCATTGGAATTTAAAGCATTACATTCTTATGCATTTGTGCATCCGTCACCTAACCACGCCTAAAGAGAGAGAGAAGTGTGAGAAGGGCAAGGTTTACCAGATATCACGGGGCTCCAGTTCGTCTATTATTCTTGTATTGCTCATAATACATTAGCAAAATGAAGGATTTGTTATCAAACGCCAAGATTTTTATTTATTCAAAAATTATATTGATAGCTTTTTTGGGGGGCCGGGGAGGGAGGAAGATGGAGTCTTCCTCTGTTACCCAGGCTGGAGTGCAATGGCACGATCACTGCAACCTCTGCCTCCCAGGTGCAAGCAATACTCTGGTGTTAGCTTCCCAAGTAGCTGGGATTATAGGTGCCCATCACCACAACTGATTTTTGTATTTTTTTGGTAGAAACAGGTTTCACCATTGTTGGCCAGGCAGGTCTTGAACTCCTGACCTCAAGTGATCCACCTGTTTTGGCCCCCCAGAGTGCTAGGATTACAGGCGTGAACTGCCACGCCCAACTGATAGCTATTTATTATACAAGGCATTGTTCTGCCAGGCAAACTGATACTAAACACACTATGAAATAAAATATATAGTACATTAATGGCAAATGTTACTAAGAAAAATCAAATGGAAAGAGATATGAAGAGTTAGTTATCAGATTCATTAATGTTTTAAATAGCATGATTCCAAAGAACTCTAAAATATTATAGGAGTATCAGAGATACTTGAACCCAAAATTTGATTATATTAAGTAGTTATTGTTGCTTTGAAGAAGAGTTCTAAGTAATTATGGTTGTAAAAATAAAGAAATTCCAGCTGGGCGCAGTGGCTCATGCCTGTAATCTCAGCACCACTTTTGGAGGCTGAGGCAGGGGGATCATGAGGTCAGAAGTTCAAGAGCAGCCTGGCCAACATAGTGAAAACCCATCTCTACTAAAAATGCAAAAATTAGCCAGGCATGATGGTGTGTGCCTGTGGTCCCACCTACTCAGGAGGCTGAGGCGAGAGAATCACTTGAAACCGGGAGGTGGAGGTTGCAGTAAGCTGAGATCGCGCCACTGAATTCCAGCTTGGGCAACAGAAGGAGACTTCCTCTCCCCGTAAAAAAAAGAAAAGAAAGAAAGAAAGAAAATTCTTGGACCTTAAGATACATTCTAAAACATTTACAGATTCACTCTTATGATTTCTGAGACTTGCTTCAAACTAATAGGTTTTGGGGGTAAACAAGGTTAAATGTGGGTGGTAATACAAGAAAAGAGAATTTGCAAGGAGTTAGTAATCATTGAAACTGAATGTTTGGCATAACAGAGCTCTACTTCTGTGAATGTTTGAAATTTTTCATTAAGATGTTTTTATAGCTCTTCCACTATAATTCTATTTTGTCTTGGTTGTTACAGCAGTTTTTCCTCTATACACATAGACTACTCATTAAATGCATATATATGAACAATTATAGTTTTAGGTGTTATACCTTCCAGGGAAGTTAATCCTCATTATAAAAGGACCTATTTTGCGTCTGGTAATACTTTGCACCCAAAGTCTATTTGGTTTGCCATTACTGCTAACCATTCCAATTTTATTTTCCATTGTGTAAAAAGAGCTATCTTTTCCTATCCTTTCCTGTTCAACCCTCCTGTATCCTCATATTTTAGGTATGTCTCTTGAAAGAGCAATCAGCTTGAAATTTTTATTCAAGCCTATCAATCTTATATTTCAATCCTAGTGTATGTGCTTGTCTACCAGGTTGCTATTTCTCCCACTTAGTCTGTTACATTTCCTCTACTTTTTGGCTTCCTTTGAAGACTTTATTATTTTAGGCCACTAATTCCCTTCATATAACTTGAAGGACGCTTCATCTCACTGGAGTCACACAAACTGATAACCCATTCACAGTGAACCTGCTTCCTATGTACAATATTTCCAGACTCATTAGGTCTCCATGAAGGCTTGCGGCAGGAGTTCAGGAGATCGCTCTGCTACAATCTGGTGTCTTCTTTTCTACTTATGGGCAGCTATGGGTTCTGTGGGTGTTATGTACTCTTCTTGTTTATGTTTATCTTATACGCAGCATTTAATTACATGCAGATTGTGGAGGCCCCAGAAGGGAAACTCCCTACAGTGTACTCTCTTTGCTCCATCCCGATACCAGCCTACGCATTTTCTAAACCTTAATACCAGTCAAAACGTGGGAGATTGCCAAAGAGTGGCAGAGGAATCACAAAGGAACGGTACACATGAATGCTCAGATTAATTCAGCACCTCTTACTAAGCCTAAAGTCTCCATTCTCGTGTACACGTGGGGACATTTTGATGTGGATACATACCTCCTACTCATTAGTACAAAATCCTTTGCACAGAGAACTTCAGAACCACACAGACTAAAGAGAGTCCATTTGCAAATTACATTTTCTACAGAACCCAAATAAAGTGGGTTTCACCCTTCTTATAGGACTTAAGGTTTAGCACTCACTGGTTTGTAGCAATGGTCCCTCAAGGGATAATACACAGTCCTCTCTGTGCTGTCCTTGGAACCAAAGCTACAATTGCCTTCCACCTTCTTATGTACATGGATCTGGGGCTCCATGATTGAAACCATCTGCTTTGGCTGCCTACCTCGCTGTCCCCATCACACTTAGAAAGTCATTGAAGCCTGGGTGCAGTGGCTCACACCTGTAACCTCAGTGCTTTGGGAGGCCGAGGCAGGCAGTTAACCTGAGGTCAGGAGTTCGAGACCAGTCTGGCCAACATGATAAAACCCAATCTCTACTAAAAATACAAAAAATCTAGCCAGGCATGGTGGTGGGCACCTGTAATCCCAGCTACTCAGGAAGCTAAAGCAGGAGAATCACTTGAACCCAGGAAGCAAAGGTTTCCGTGAGCTGAAAGTGTGCCACTTATACTCCAGCTTGGGCGACAGAGACTCTGTCTCAAAAAAAAAAAAAAAAAAAAAGTCGATGAAGCAAACTTAGTGCTTCCTGAGGTCCAGCTGGAGACGGTAACCAGGAAACAGAAGTGTTTCTTCGTCAGCATGCCCATGATTACTTGCTGCGTAAGTGCATGAATATAGGCCAAGACTAAATAGAAAAACATTCTGGTTCGACAGGTCAAGCATTCTGGAGGATTTTTGGCCACTTTTTCATTCTTTAGACCCTACAGGTTGGCTAACTCTCCACCCACATCGAGCAGCCTTCTTCCTGGCCAGCTGCCAGTGCAGACTTTCTCCATTTCCCAATAGCCTTGAGTAGCCAGAGGACAGAATTCTGAGCAACTAGGACAGAAATCTCTTGGCCAATCATTTAGTGAGGCTGTGGAGAGATAAGCCTGTAAAATTTTACTTTTCAGGAAATCTGGAAACCTATAGTCTCCATGCCTGATCAGCAAAGAAGCAGTTCTCTGTGGGCACCAGAGACGGACCCAATGTGGAGACCTGCAAGTGTGTGTCTGGCCCTGAACTCACAAGCACAGGGCAAGCTTCCTGAGCATTGAAGAGAATATGCGGGAGAAGCAAACACAAACTGAAAGAATATGCAAGGTGTCTTTCTCAGATGTTGCTCTGTGACAGATGGTAGGGGCAGGAGTGATGGAAAGAGACTGAGAAGATCTGGACATGGAGGCTGGAACAGCCAGGGTGTGATTCAGAGAGGCGGAGGCGCATGAGAAGGAAGGTGGATTTTAAGGCTGGAAATCTGAGGGTCAACGGTCCAACTCACTCAGAGAAAGAATCACAGCACAGCCCTTGCTGATGGCAAATCAAGGAGGACTAGGGGACTGGAAAGAATTCTGCTAACAGGCAGGAGCTCCTGAGGAGGAATTTGTAGCAAAATTAGCAAGAGGAGATGATGTGGAGAACAGGGTTGCCAGAACTGGTGGGAAGCCCTGAGAAATGGTGACAATGCCCAAGAAACACACTCTGCCAAGGCTGTACCTGGTCTCACATCCCCGTCACCTTTCTAGCCCCAGGCAGCCACCCAGCTGTCAGGCCATGCCCAGCAGCTTCCCACGAAGCTATATAGTGCCCAGAGTGAGCCCCAGGAGGAACATAAAGATGTCGAGCAGGTTCTCCTCATTCCAGGGCTGCAGGAAGGCA